CTCACATTCACTCTCTAACATAATACTAAGCTTCATTCTATCTCTTTTACTCAGAATTGAGTAGAACCTGCTCAGCAAGAATCTGATGGCACAACATACAATAGCAACTCATTTCATCCCCTCTAGTCACCAGAGAGACCCAGACCAGAATGGCCACCCCAGACTTCCAGCCCTCTGAAAAGATCAAGAGAGACTGATGATATGTTCTAACTAGGTCAATCAATCAATCATGAGTCTCATTTGAAGAATTCAGACAGATGATTCACTCAGACAAGAATCATGTCTATAAAGAGTTAGCAGCAATCTTTGACAGCATCTTTAATGATGAAAAAACATTGAGAAATACAATCACACATCTGAGAATGAAATGAAACAATGTCACTGATCAGACTGCTGTCAAGCAAAGTCAGATTGATGAGTTAATTGCTGAATGTGATGAACTTAGTCACATCTTGATCTGTATGACAGTCAGCAATCAAGCAGCAAATTGAGAGATCATTCTCTCTGAGACTATCTGAAGATCTGTCAAAATTGATGATTTAAAACATCTCACTGATAGCAAAAAGTCAAAATTTGAACACTGACTCTTCTGAATGAAGAACAAGCTCTGAAAGAACACTGATCACTACTCTACTAAACACATGAGAATTGCATACATTGAAAATCAGACTGATGAGAATGTGGCACATCACATTGCACTCTGTATGAAAGAGAATCACTCTGAGCAATATTAGACTGCTGAAGAGATATTTGAGCATCTCAAGTCAATATATGAGAATGCTAACAAGCTGCAAAATGTCAAGAGTGATTATCACAAGCTGATTATGTGCAATAGAAATAATTATCATGAATTTGTCACAAAATTCTTACATCTGACAGATGAGATCAAGATTGTCAAAGAGAACTACAAAACAGACTTCAATGATAAGCTGTTCTTTGACCTTCAGAGGATGATGACAGTAGTCAATGCAATTATCAATACATATGTTGATCACACTCTTCAGACAATCAATGTCACTTAGAAGTCAAAGAGCTTGCAGAGAAATGAATCTAATATCTTCAAGCAAAACACTCTGTGAGCCTCTGACAGTCAAACTTTTCACAGCATCTCAGCCACAAAATCCTCTATCATAAAGAAAGTCTTGAGCACTCATTCAGATATTCAGTGCTACTACTTCAAGAAGAAAGATCACATTGCCAGAAATTGCTCTGCAAAGCAGAAGTCTCAACAGATGATCACTGAGCTCACAGAGAATGACACTTCTGAGCCTTCAGCAAATTCAGAAAAAGAGTGAGTCTGAGAGAAGACTTCATCTCAGATAGTTCAATAGTCTGTGAGAGATTTGAGATGAAGAACTTGATTGAGAAAAAGAGCATTAATGTCTCAATTAAGTTAGCTCACAATGAAATTGCTACTTTTACAAATTCTCTCACTGATACTGAAGCAAATGATGTGAATTCTATTGATATCTGATACACTATAGAATTGATGAGATTCTTCAATAGAAACTTTCAGAAACTCTCATTCAAATGCTGCATGAAGGGATACAATGACACCTCTGATGAGATGATAGACTGCACATTGACTCTAAACCTCTGAGTGAATGATCAGAGATTCTGGAATGTTCCTCTGCTGGTGACAGACCTAGACCAGTACTCTATCATCCTGGGATGAAAGTGGTTGACAGCACAGGATATATGGCTTGATGTTAAAAATCAACATCTGATTTGACTGAGTGAACTGTCTATCTCTGAACAGATGATGAAGCTGATGCTGAAGATAGTGCTTCAATCAATACTGAAGCATTCAGACTCTAAGTCTAAGCATTAGACAGATGTGAAACAAAAAGAGATCAAACTGAACAAGAAGATCAGACAGAAGCATCAGACTCAGCTCTGCAAATTGAAAGAGATCAGCTCAGTCATGACATCTAAGACAAGGCAGAGACTGACCTGGGAGGAGACAGCATCACAGATGATGAATATGAACTTCATTAAGACTGCTTCTTTTCACAGTTACATGAAGAACAAGAACTCAACAATCTTCATAATCAGTCTGTATGAAATTGATAAACAGCTTGAGAAGAAGTGAAGTTTAGTGAGAGCTGAGAAGAAGTTTAATAAGAAGCTAATCAGCAACTTATCAGAATGATTGAAAGATCAGAAGAACTGTTTCTCAAAGAAAGCATCAGATGAATTACCTCTCCTACAGAAGAATGTTAATTTTAATATAGAGCTTCAGTCTGACACTGACCTCATTCAGAACATTGAACATGCATCTCTATATAAGATGAATTTGAAGGAACTAGAAGCAGTGAAGACTTATCTTGAAATCAACCTAGCAAAGAACTTTGTCATTTCAAGTTCAGCCCTCTACACCTCCTCAATTCTGATTGCTTGTAGTGGGAAGAAGCTATGATTCTGTGTTGACTTTTGCAAGCTGAATGCTATGATCAAACAAGATCAGTATCTCTTGTCTCTAATAGATGAGCTGATGGACTGACTCAACAGAGCAAAATACTTTACAAAGCTGAACATTCAGCAGAGGTTTCATTGCATCTGAATGAACTTTAAGTTGAAGGATCTGACCATCTTTAGAACCTGCTACAGAATCTATAAATACTGAGTGATTCTCTTCAGTCTTACAAATATCTCTGTCTGCTTTCAACAGTTTGTCAATAGTATCTTCTTTGACTATCTGGACAAGTTCATGACAGCATTCATGGATGATCTTCTAATCTACAGCAGGACTCTCAAAGAACACAAGCAGCAAGTGAATCTGATACTGAACTGATTAAAGACAGCAGACTTGCAAGCTAGCATTCAGAAATGTGAGTTTGCTGTTCAGAGAACAAGATATCTAAGATTTATCATTATCACAGAGAGGATTGAGACAGACTCTGAGAAGACTGCTATCATCACAAAGTGACAGATTTCAATCACAGTAAAAGATGTTCAATCATTTCTAAAATTTGACAACTTCTATCAGTGATTTATAAGAAACTATAGCTGAATTGCAAAATCACTATACCAGTTGACAAAGAAGATAGTTCCATTCATGTGGACATCAGAATGTCAATCAGTCTTTGAGAAACTGAAGAAGCAGCTGATGAAGGCTTCAACTCTACATTACTTTGACTCTGAATGTGAAACCTGCATTGAGACTGATGCCTCAGATGAAGTGATGACTGAGATACTGAGTCAAAGATTGAATAATAATCTTTGACACTCTGTGATCTTCTACTTCAAGTCAATGAATGATGCAGAGCTCAACTATGAGATTCATGACAAGAAAATGCTTGCAGTCATCTGAGCATTGCAGAAGTGGCAAGCTGAGCTTGAGGGACTACAATGAAAAGAACAATTCAAGATTCTCACTGATCATTGTGCACTGAAATACTTCATAACAATCAAGAAGTTGAATGCACATCAGATCTGCTAAGCAGAATTTCTTTTCTGTTTTTATTTCAAGATTAAGTATCAATCAGATAAGGTCAATCTACTAGCAGACATGCTGAGCAGATCTGAGCAGGTTAAGAAGCAACAGAACAGCTGTATGCAGATTCTTCTAGAATCAGAGACTCTTGACTCTCAGATCACTTTCTTTATGAATATTGCTAGCATCAACTCCTCAGAGAAAGAGAACATTGCTGAATGCATAGTGTCTTTAAACAAGACAGTCATCTCAATTGAGCCCCTGCAGCAGCAAGTAGAAAAGGAGAATAGTCTCTATACAATGAAGAATAATATGTTGCTATATCATGAAAGATTGATAGTGTCTGTTCAGAAAGAAACTCTTATAGCTGCTCTGCTAAAGAAAATTCATGATCAGACCTCAACAGCACATTCAGAGAAATAGAAGACTCTGACTCTGATTCATCTCTGCTATTGATGAATCATCTGACAGATGAATGTCTTATGCTATGTTCAGAACTGTCATACATGCTGAGTTAGTAAGATCTCAAAAAACAAAGTCTCTGGCCTGCTAAAGCTGTTATTAATATCAGAACAGACATGGCAGCATATTGCAATGAACTTCATGAATGTATCAAAGAGCAAAAGTGACTGTGATGTCATTCTAGTTATAGTCTGCTGGTTAAGCAAGAAGGTAATTTCAATTTCTATCACTTATGAAGTTACAGTCTGTGAGCTGGCTCAATTATTCATTCAATTCTACTATTTCTATAATGAAGCATCAGACTCAATTGTCTTTGACCACAGCTCTCAGTTCATATCAAACTTCTGAAATGAGTTCACAGAAATTCTAGACATAAAGTTGAAACTCTCAACAGCACATCACACACAGACAGATGAGCAGACAGAGACAATAAATCAGTATATTATCACACATCTTCACTCATATGTTAATTACTATCAAAATGACTGAAATAAGTGATTATTCATTATAGATTATGTTTCTGCAGTCATCTCAAACATCTTCACTGAGATCTCCCTCTTTCTAGCTGCAAATGAATATGAGTCATGAACATCATTTGACTGAAGATCTCTGTCAAGAAAACTAAGAGCAGAGAAGAGAACAAATTGAAGAACTGCTCAAAACTTTGTTAAACAGATGAAAGAGATCTGAGAGTGAGCAGACAAGAGCATGAAGACAGCACAAAAACAGATGAAAAGACAGACTGATAAACATTATCAGAAATCTGACTTCACAGTGAGAGATTTTATCTACTTGACATTGAAATCATACAGAATCAATCAATCAAGCTGTAAGCTGGCAGCATAGAACACAGGTCTCTTCAGAATTCTAGAGAGAGTGAGCAACATCTATAGACTAAACCTTCTCACAATCATGAAAATTCATTCAATCTTCTTCTCAAACAAGCTGTGCAAAGATTCAAAAGACTCTCTATCAGAGCAGACTGTCAAACCATCAGATTCAATTGAAATAGATGAAGAAAATAAATGAGAAGTGGAGCATATATTAGTCAGTTGAATAAATCAAGACAAACTGCAATATCAAGTCCACTGAAAGAGATTTGATGAGAACTTATCTTGGTACACAGCTCATGACTTCAAAGAATCACCACATGTCATATGTGACTTTCATGAAGCTAACCCTACAAAAGCTGAACCCTCAAGACAACTAAATGAGTGGCTGAAGACATGGGAGACAGACAGCTATCTGAAGAATGAGGTTGATGACAACCTACCAGCATGAGGACATGCTTGTCCCTAGATCAGAGGGTGATGTTAGGCTCAGCACCCGACCAAGCCCAACTGAGGCCCAGTGCCCGGCTAGACTCAATGTCAGATTAAGCTCGGCGTCTGATTAGGCCAAATATTCTCATATGATTAAACAACCATGCAGGTGGTTATAACCCAGGCAGGCCCCAGCACCTCTTTCACCCCATCAAGCTTAGTATTTCATTATATAGCAGTTAGCAACACAGAGAGTTTCCTTCTTATGCAGCTCACATTCACTCCTTAACATTAATATTTTAATTCATAGTTTTAATTTATCTTATCAGAGTTTATAATTTTAACATGAAATCAATTATAGAATTTATCTCAGATAATGAGTATCTTTAGCTTGATGTAATATTGTTATTATTTTTTGAAGTTCAGTATTAAAATAAATTATTACTTTAAGAATTTTATTTTCCTCATTATTCTCAAAATAATATCTTTGATAGATATATAAAATACAAGACTTAAAGAAATAAAATTCTCTAGTTTCTTAAAACTTTCTATCTTAAACTTCTTGAAAAGTTTTTAAATTGATACAGAACAGAGTTTTTTATAGATGAAGTTAATACTAATAGTATAATCTGTTAACTCTGTTATATACTGATTACTCTTAGAGTTTTGATTTTATATACTGAAAGTGTTGATTTATTATTATAGTTAAAGAAGTTTTTTATATATTTTCAGCTGTACTTATTTCTATTGAATTATCTGAATCTCTTCATCAACTGCTGTATAAGATGCTTTAGTATTTCTTTCTGAAGTTAGACTTAATAATTATTCATAGAGAGTTTCTTTTATATATATACTTTTTTCATAGATATTATATGTGAGATATTAATTTATATATTATATTTTAAACTTATTGTTATAGACTTAATAAATAACCTCTTTTCAAATAATTAGAAACTATAAAAACACTTAATATAACTGAACTAAATGTCAAAAGAAAGTATGAAAAGCATTATAACTAATATTATAAGAGAGTAGAAATATAGACACTATTAGTGCTATGAAGAAAAACGAATAGTGATAAATAAAAATGTAAATATAGAATTGAATAATAGCTAATCACTGAATCTTTTGAAAAAATTGGAATATTTATAATATATATATTTATGAATAAGTATTAATAAATTTCACCTTTAATATTTTATAAAATAAATAACATAATATTAATTTTATTCTTTAATAAATAGTAATAGATTTTATCTATAATCTTTTAAAAAATAAAGAATTGAAGATATAGTACTCTTTTATAAAATAAAATATTAGTGATATAAAGTAATTATTTTAAAATAAATAAAGTGCTGATTCTAAATATATAAAAAACTAATTCTTTAGATGCTTCATGAGATACTTTAGTAAGTAGTATAAGGTCTTGATATTATAAACAGCTTTGCAAAATTCATAAGCAGTAATAGATGTAACAGATCAAATAGTATCAGAAGAAATAATTAATTATTTAATAAATATCATAAATACTCAGTCAGAATATAACAGATAAATCTTTATAGCTTTAAATTTTATTTATATATTTACTAATAGAAGTATTAAATTTAAAGCCGCATAAAAAAGTCTTTAAAAAATTATATTTAGTAATAGATAAATAGTCAAATCTTTAATATAGTAGTGAATTTAATTCTTTCACATTGATCTTTGCAAGTGATATAAATATCTTATTATTTAATAATTGCAAATAATAAGTTGAATATGATAAAAATACTGTAAATGATATTTGATTCTTATCTATATAGTTTACGAATTTTATATTAATATAAGAAGAATGATTATTTAATATAAGTAAGTATTGGCTGTAGCTACTTTTCTTTATATATAAATAAAATATTTTTTTTTCAATCACTCTATATCATAGTCATTACTACTTTAGTCATTTGAAAATATATTAAAATATATCTATTAATCTTTAAATTGAAATTCATTAAGTCAGATATTCTGAATATCATTTTTCTTATATATTAGTACTGAAGAAACATTTAAATCATCTGTATAAATAGCTATAATTAAGATAATTAATTCAAAACTTTCATTTTAAAATACTATAATATATTTATTTTTCAGAGATTTAACTAAAACAATATACTTAGTAGCATATTTAAGATTAATTAAAAAAATTTCTTATCATAATTATAAATATCTAAGAGTTTAAGATTATGTTTCATAATAGAATAAGTTAACTAGAAGTAAAGTTATTTTATCAGCAGTCAGTAAATTTAACAGAAAAATACTGTAAATATTTAATCAATTTATATATAGTAGTCTTCAAAGTAGTTAGAATTATCTATAATTTATTATTTTTGATTAATTGTATAGAAATAGATACTTTTTAGCTTATTCTTATAATTTTGATAAAATAAATTCATTCAATACTCTTTATCATATTCTTTATTAAATTCTATAATAACTCAACTAAAGATATGATGATAAGAGGATAAGAGCTTCAATTCATCTAACTAAACAGCTATATGAGAATACTAAATTGAGAATTAGAATATGCGAATAAACAAGTAGTTGAATATATATAGATTATTAAGAATTAATATGAATCAATTTTCAAAGTGAAGTGAATCAATAAGAGTAATTAAATATGATTGAAGTTAAAATAAATTAATCTTATCTTATATTATCAGTGACTGCGCTGTAACAAATTCAACCATCAAATTTCATACTATTTAAGATATAAGAGCAAGACTATGGTCTGCTAGATGATTTATATGCTGAATAAGTGTTTCTTTTTGCAAGTTGATTAACTTTTTATGATATTTTAATATCACATCAGATCTGCAGATCTACTTGTCTTTATGCTACTGTTGCAATATCATTGAACTGATTTTACATTTTGAAGCAGTTTGCTTATAACTTGGAAATTCTTGTAATCTTAAATCTTCAATTGTAAGCTGAATTGCAGTTTCACTGATCATGATGTTGAGGTTTAAAGTTGAAGAATTGAGGTGGAATTTATAAAATCATTGGGTGGTGGAAATCATTGAGTGGTCAATCACATTAATCAAGTTTCATACTGAACAAGTTATATGGGCAAGTTAACGTAATTTACTAACCCACTGCGTACAGCTGCAGTGACTCCTAGAATTGATATCTATCTAAAGTCAAGTATTTTTAAACCTCTCCTGACTTTGTCAAGAAGCTAATTTTCGACCATGGGAGAATTGAAAGAGCCTAATATCAAGCCATTCTCCCTAGAAGTATGCATCTCGGTGATGAAAGTAGCTACACCACAAATCTAGAAGGAAAAGTCAACAAAACCTAAAGAAGAATAAAAGGGAGTAAGAGAAGAAATTCCTCTATATATATAACTGCACAGACGTCCATACCAAGCACGGAACTCTTGTGAGCGCCTGAGGGCTAGTGATACCAGTTATCGGTTATCCCAGTACAATGAAACATCAAACTCCTCCTTTCCCTTCCATACTTGTCCAGAATCATTTGCCGCCGCAACAGCCGCACGCAAATCATGACCCATCTCTGCCGGCCCGCTAGCCACCACTTGAACCCGGCCAGCAACTGCCGAAGGCGACGGTGACGACGGCGGCTCATTGTGAATAAAGTTCTGAACGATTTCATGCATATCCGGGTGGTGGTTTGCGGGCCACAATATGTGAAGATTAGGGTGTTGGGGAAGTACGAACGATGGATTCCCATTTGGCTTTGACGGGTTGGTCTTCTCGTCACTGAGAGATAAATTTTCGGCACGATGGGTATTTGTTAGTTCCATAGAAGGCTCGCGGGAGACAAAAATGCGGACGGTCACGTTCTTCGGATGGGAGTGAAGGAGAACGGTGAGCTCATCTTGGACCCATTCAATGTTTCGTGTGCGGCGGATTATCCAGACGAGTTCGACGCGACGGTCGGGTTCTTCCTTGTTCCCTGAGGCTGCTGCTGCTGCTGCTAACGGCAGAGCGAAGGATATGCCAGTACCACCGGCTATTGCTAGGATATTCCGGGTTGACTTGTCAAGAACATGCGTTCCGTAAGGGCCAGTGAGTATGACGGGAATGGTAATGTCACCGGATGAATTGCTAGCCAAAAGTGGTAAACGAGAGGTCTCCCCTGACAAGCACCGGATAACGTATGCGTGCTGTGAATTGTTCTGCAGTTGTTTCGGGAACGGGGTGAAGGGATGGGACTGCCAGATGGTTATATCTGGAAAACATAGGAAGAAATGTTGACCAGCTTCCCAGGGCGGCTGATCGTGTCTGAATTCAAGTCTAGTTACAATTCCGCCATCACCGTCATCGAAGGATGTAATTTTGCCCTCTGCGGGTTTGAATCCGATACCTGCATTTGGGTTTTAAACATCTTTCCGATTCAACGTGAGAGGGGACATGTGACGAAAATTCGAAAATTCAAGTTGTCATACCTTTATATCTGTCCTTTAAGTCCAGATGTATGACAAGGGTGCGAAGTAGACGAACACCCCTATCCAAAAATAGAACACCAATGGACGCAATCATCCAGCAACTAAGCCTAGCCCAATGGCCCCAACAAGCTCCCAGATAAAGGGCTCCAGCGATGTAGTGGGATTTCCTAAAGAATTCGTACCCAGTCCATCTGACAACCCTATTGATGCTGAAGATATAAATGAAGGTCATGAGAGTCTGAGCAATTATACCAAAAATAATGTACCTCTTCGTGATGAACTTGGTGTACACTTTCGGCTGCGGCTGGTAGAGCCGCGTTTGAATGATTGTCCAGAATACAGTGTGCAAGACAGTTTGAATGAAAATGATGCGCCCAATCCATCGATGGAGAAAGTTGAAATGTCGGTATGGGATTCCAGTGATAAGCGAGAGAATGTTTTCCCGAGTACCTAGCATGATAGTTAACGGGGTTATCGCGAATGCGAACGCCCCAATACGATTCGCGAGTGGCCCCAGAGTAGTCCGCGTGCTGAAGGACGAAGAATTCTTGACGGGAGTGAGCCATAATTTATAC